CTGACTCCTTAAAGTTTCTTGTATATTCTTGATGTTAAGTCAAAAAGCTTTCAAGGTATCATCTGCTAGAAAAATAAAAAAGTTTCGACCAGAAACGGATCGTGAATAAGCAGATGATACCTTGTCAAGAATTATTCTATTCCAGTGTATTGTATTTCTGTATTTACTCTTGTAGGGAAAGGGGGGGGGGGCGGTGTGGGGGCTCCATCCGTGCGAGGGAGGGGGAGGACTAGCGTAGACCAGCGCTGCTGACTCGGCTCGGGGCTCGGCTCAGCCTGGCTCGGCTCGTGGCTCGGCGCAACAACGCGCAGCGCGCTCGACACGACGGCCTCACCTCAGTCGCCTGGCCTTGCGTCACGACCCCGCCTAGGGTAATATACGTATGAGCTTGCTATTTGTTTTCTTTTATATTTCTTAATCGAGAGTAAAAGCAATGACACCTTACATTACTCATGTATAATTATGTTAAGATATGTTCAGGTGTAAGGTTGTAGGACATCATCTGCTAAAAAATTACTTTGGTGGTCTAGACGTGACTTGGTACTCTAGGTTGACAGCTTTATAATGCCGTTTTGCGATTTTCAATAATTCGGAAGCGAAAAACTTTAAATTCAGCACTTCACTGCAGTTTGTTCGGTGACTGGGGCACTTGACTTGCTGTACGCGGATCTAGGACAACTCGCCCCGACTCTCTCGTCCCCAACTTACCATTATATTATCATCCAAGGTGAAATGCGTTGTTCCATTCCAATCATAGAACCACAGGTCAGGATCCTTACGGTCACGTACTCCGTGGTAAAAACATTTGATGGTTTCAGTCTTGGGACGCAGTTCTCCTGGACACTTTTCAAAGTGATCAGGTATTATTCGAAACGGGCCCTGAATTGGCATGGGTAATATCATAGCATTAAAGAGGCACATGTACTGTAAAAATGTATGCGTAGATCTATGAGTAGACAATGTAAAGTTGTTGTTGTTTTGTAGTTCACTATGGACAAAATATACTGTACAAGTTTAGCACTGTTCTCCTGCTTTTCCATTGCTTTCAAGCTGACGCGTAAAGCTCGTCACTTAACAATTCTACTTTTTAAATTTGAGGTACCTGCCAGCGCAGGGTCGTTTTAGCCTCATAGACCTCTCTCTCTCTCTCTCTCTCTCTCTCACCCCTTCTGGAGGCTACAAGGGCTGTCGATCGGCCAAAATAGCTTTTGTAGCCAATCTTACGAAATCTTGAAGTACGTTATTTCATGTCGACTTTTTCGACCTAGATTGTCGGCCCACCTTACTTACCACCACACTGTTTAAAGAAGCGCCGTGCGCTAGCGTATGATTGAACTGCTCAGTGAAGTACAATATTGTCGATAAATATACAAAACTGCGGTGGTACATCGCACTGTGCGGGTCTCAGTGAGCAGGGCTTGGAGCCAAGTGACGCTATCTTTCATCGTCCAACGAATGGACCAGTGTGTGATGTGAGTGTACGAGAACGTTGTTATGTTCACATCTGCGAAGGGCGTGGGGGTCATTCTGATTGCTACAGCTGAATGCTTTGCCGAACCTTTGAAATACACGTTTAAACTAAAAAGCGGCAGAAAGCAAAAAATACTATCTAAATGATGTCATGCATACCTGGTGTTAATGATTTTAAAAATGTAAAAATAGGAACAGAGATATGTTGCTGTGAAAATGTGCGTATGTCAAAGGGGATCTGACAAAATGTGCGCAGGTCATGACTTGCGCACCTTTTCACAGAATTCTTTGTGACATGCGCACCTTTTGTCAGATCAAAACTGACATGCGCTGCTTTTGTCAGATTTCTATGACTTGCGCATATTTTGTCTGATCATAAATTCTGGTGACATGCGCACATAAAACAGATTCCTTAAACAAGTTTTAAATGTTTGCCATCAACACTTTGCTTAATAAATTAACATTCAAAGGTGTACTACTTGGTTTTCTTCTGTGTTCACTCTGTTTACAACTGTTCTTTGTTGAATGTTTTATTTTGATTTGAGAAATTTAGAATCTTAAGAAATTAGTGAACACAAATTTTTATCTCAAGAGAATTATTTCCTTCAGTATGGAGGCACATAGAAAATACTGTACTGACACAGCAATTTTTTCATCTGTGCTTTGTTATTTGTTGTTGTCTGCAGAAATAACCATAACAAGTTCAATTTTTACATCATTTCTTGTTGTCAATGAATAAACTCACTTGGTTTTTTTCTGGTAAAATGTGATTAATAAGACAAAATGCTGACTATGTCATAGTGGAAAGTCGATGTCAATACACTCAACACAATAATAATGCAAGATACATCCAGATTGGTTAACACTTGGTGGGCGGGGTAATGTTTGTGACAAGACAAGAGCGGCTTCTGCTACGGCATAGCCTTACTCGACACCGTAAGAACCATACTCTTGGATGGGCGATGGTGGAGTGGAGATACCCCATGCGCAAATCCCCCCCCCCTCCTTCGATATGCAGACAACTCTGTTGGGTTTAGGGTAGTCCTCGGAATTTTGTCCTGTTTGTTGTGAAACAGCACTTGTCACTTTACTGTCTGTGCCTGAGGACGCTTATTCACGTCGAAAAAACCCGTATAAACATGCAACTATGCCTAACTTCTTTAATTTATCAGGTGAGCTGGCAGTTGTAATCAACCAACCTATCTGGTCTGAGCTTGTGCCTATTCTAAAAGTTCTGTGTGCTTTGTTCTTTCTTGCAGGTCGTTTGATTTTTGAACTGGCATTTATCCTTCCCATTCCTAGCCTATGAACTACTGGGCCTATAACAGCTCCACCTAGAGTGATGTGACCATCCACTCTTGGGAAGACAAAACGCCAAACGCCCAATAAGGTATTCAAATTATTTGGTATTTACTATTCACTATACATATGTCTTCTTATCCCATTAGGCTGCATTTCACTTGATTTTAAAATTTGTAATATTATCGAATTAATGTATCTTCAAGTTCAAAACTTAGTCGCTGTGTGAGAAATAGTATTTTGCGATTTGACACTGGCATTATAGGTGTGTCTACGCTCAGGGTGACATCCTCATAGGAGGCTCAGACACAGCACCGTTGATATTGTGAAGCAAACCTGACAGAACTGACAGATGTGTTTCCAAACAGTTTTTCTTATTTCTAAATATTCATATATAAATATAATTTGTTGTGCAATAAACTATTTTCTATATAACTGCACTGTTGATTTATGTGAGTTAGTTGTTAGTGACTGTGTCCTCTGGTACCCAACTTATGAATGAACTCAGTAAACATCCCCACAACTGCACTGCATTCCGATAGCCAGTGGCTCTTTCTAGCTTTAACTCACTCTGAAGATAATTAAGCAATTATACCTGGGATTATTAACTGCCCACTATTTTTCTCCTCTTAATAATTAGGGATACCAGTGCTGATTTTCCTCATGAGCTTGTTAAGATTTTGAAGTGACTAATGTTTTAATTTGCTTTTACTTTTGCAGCTGAAAGCGGTTTCTATGGTTCGGCTTCCACTCTCCAGATTTGTGCAAACATCATGTGGATAAAATTCTATTAATGTACAGGTATGTATTTCTTATTCTTTCTGCTAAGTGTGTAGATGTAAATACTCTGTTTTACACTGTTTTAATTTATGTATTTTATTCTCTTTATGCAGGGAAAAGTGCGGTTTCTACAGTTCAGCTTCCTCTCTTTATCTTTGTGCAATGTTGTGTGTTTCATTCTGAACTGTAGATGTAAATACTCTAAAGAACCATATAGAATAAATA